CCTTCCTTCTTTCCTTCCTTCCTTCTTTCCTTCCTTCCTTCCTTCCTTCCTTCCTTCTTTCCTTCCTTCCTTCTTTCCTTCCTTCCTTCCTTCCTTCCTTCCTTCCTTCCTTCCTTCCTTCCTTCCTTCCTTCCTTCCTTCCTTCCTTCCTTCTTTCTTTCTTTCTTTCTTTCTTTCTTTCTTTCTTTCTTTCTTTCTTTCTTGACAGGCAGAGTGGACAGTGAGAGAGAGAGAGACAGAGAGAAAGGTCTTCCTTTGCCGTTGGTTCACCCTCCAATGGCTGCTGCGGCCGGCGCACCGCGCTGATCCGAAGCCAGAAGCCAGGCGCTTCTCCTGGTCTCCCGTGGGGTGTAGGGCCCAAGCACCTGGGCCATCCTCCACTGCACTCCCTGGCCACAGCAGAGAGCTGGCCTGGAAGAGGAGCAATCGGGACAGAATCCGGTGCCCCGGCCGGGACTAGAACCCGGGGTGCCGATGCCGCTGGCGGAGGATTAGCCTAGTGAGCCGTGGCGCCCGCTGAGACGCCTTTCTGTGTATGTCAGATACTTTCTTCCCTCTCTGTGATGCAGAATGCTATCATTCTTTTTTTAATATTGTACTCATGAGCACAGTGTAAAATGACTTATTTTTAGTGATTCCCTAGAAATATGGATGAAGTTGACTGAGAGTGAGGACCTGTAGTTGACCTTAATCTTGATGGCACAAAATAAAGGGGGGACAGCCCAGGAGTCTGCTGGGGGCAGAGTTCATGAGCTGTTTCTCCTCTGATTCTGCATCGTTCATGAAAAACCAGTCTTAGACAGACAACTGCGGTGACTAAGGCTGCCTGGAGACCCTGGATCTGAAGCGGAAGGAAGGCAGGAGACTCTGAAGTGAGTTAGCAAGAGCTCCACACTCAATAGAAAAAGGAACATAATGCTGGCCAACCTATTCCTTTTCTTCCTGCAACTTCTAAACAGCAAGAGACTATTGTTGGATGTGTGTTTTCCTGGGAGGACTGATGAGCGTACACAAGGAGGTGGGAGGAGAGGAAAGTGGTTAAAAGGCATTTGCTACAGAGAGGTAGGGAAAAAATGGAATTGCTACGGGCTTGGTTGAGTTGTTCCTTCTGTGTCCATGATGAGGAGGATGGACAATTGGGTGTTTTCCTCTCAGTTATTATTCCACAGGCTACTGCTGGAGCCAGAAGCATTGCAGGTGTAGACAGCCTGGAAGAGAACAGTTGTTGAGGGGCTGGCACTGTGGTATAGAAGGTTAAGTCTCTGCCTGCAGTGCTGGCATCCCATATGGGTACCAGTTCGAGTCCCCGTTGCTCCACTTCCTATCCAGCTCCCTGCTAATGTACCTGGGAAGGCAGCAGAAGATGGCTTAAGTTCTTGGGCTCCTGCACCCATGTGGGAGACTGCAAGGAAGCTCCTGGCTCCTGGCTTTGGCCTGGCCCAGATCTGGCCATTGCAGCCATTTGGGGAGTGAACCAGAGGATGGAAGATTCTCCCTCTCTTTCTCTCTGCCTCTTGAATAAATAAATAAATATTTTTTTTTTTAAAGAACTGTTGTTGAGAATCATCTGTAATGAGATTGGCTTCAAGTTATGAAACTTTGATAATACAAAGGATTGTAAAGGCCTAAAGATGTTTAAGGATAGAATTTGTAAGATGATGTTTTAATCATACATATCAGTATATTGCAAATTAATGTGCCTTGTTTGATCATATCGAGTATGTTACCTGTAATCTCTCTGGATTGGAGCAGGTCTTTTTTTTTTAAGATTAATTTATTTATTTGAAAGGCAGAGTTACAGAGAGAGAGACAGAGAAAGAGATTTTCGATCTGCTGGATCACTCACCAAATGGCCAGAACAGCCAGGACTGGGCCAGGCTGAAGCCAGGACCCTGGAACTCCATCAGGGTCCCTCTGGTGGGTACAGGGGTCCAAGTACTTGGGCCATTATCTGCTGCTTTCCCAGGTGCTTTAGCAGGGTGCTGGATCAGAAGTGGATCAGCTGGGACTGGAACCAGCGCCGCAGGCAGCAACTTCACCCACTAAAGCACAGTGATGGCCTCTGGAGCAGGTCTTGTCAAGACAGTGTTGTGGGAGGGAGGTTTTTCCTCCTGGTTTTGATATTGACTGCCTGCTCCTGGCCTGGATGTTCATCATAGTTTTTCTTAGAAATAGGCAAAAAATGGGCCGGCGCCGCGGCTCACTAGGCTAATCCTCCACCTAGCAGCGCCGGCACACCAGGTTCTAGTCCCGGTTGGGGCGCCGGATTCTGTCCCGGTTGCCCCTCTTCCAGGCCAGCTCTCTGCTGTGGCCCAGAGTGCAGTGGAGGATGGCCCAAGTGCTTGGGCCCTGCACCCCATGGGAGACCAGGATAAGCACCTGGCTCCTGGCTCCTGCCATCGGATCAGCGCAGCGCACCGGCCGTGGCAGCCATTGGAGGGTGAACCAACGGCAAAGGAAGACCTTTCTCTCTGTCTCTCTCTCTCTCACTGTCCACTCTGCCTGTCAAAAAAAAAAAAAAAAAAAAAAAAAGAAATAGGCAAAAAAAATGTCTTAGGTGAATTGCTCTCAAGCTCACTTCACCATTTGTTAGTTTGTTAGCAAGCTAACTACTGGGTGTGCTGCTATAGAAAGGGTATGAAGGAGGGAGGCGCTGCAGAGCTGGCCAAGGGCGCTTGTGTAGGCAGCTGGTTACTAAAAAGGTGAAAGCTTGCGGTTCTATTTCACAGGCCACCAGAGCTGGGAATGAAAGCTACGGTGGGTGGTTGGGGATGTTGGGTGTCACTGGTGTGTCTCAGGCCCAGGAAGAAGGACACTCTTCAGATGCAGATGACAAGAGGTTCAAGTCTGGCCAGTGGTGGACTGAGATTTTACCCCTTTGTTGGTTTAGTGCTAATAACAAAAAGCCTAAATGGCCCTGAGCACCTTAGGGCTGGCCACCAGGTTGCAGAATCTGAATTTTGAGCTGCTCAAAGCCAGAGTTTTTTTTCGCAATAGCTAATAAAACTAAGAAATCTGTCCATTTCTTAGTTCTGGAACAAGTGTGTGTGTGTGTTTTGTTTTTACTCCCTTGTACAAAAGATAATTGTATTTGAAATTAAGAATGACTAAAATGAACTGTAGCGTGCATTTTGTTTCAGTCCCAACAG